TTCGATGAAAAATTTCTATTAGAATTTGTCATTAATGAATTGATCCTTCGAGATCGTTAGCACTCGCGCACGATGATTTTGCACGAACTTCTCGCATTCTATCGTACGTTTTCGTTATCAGACGATCCAAATATTTTCCTATCGCTACTTCTACAGAGAATTCACAGAAAAAACGTTGATTGGATATCGAGAGAAAAGAGAAATTTGTTGGATGGATATTCGTTTGCGAGGAAACGAGGGATTTTTAAATCGGAGCACGGGTTGTGCATCAGTACGGACGTTTTACGTTTCTGAGCGGTGTTCTTCGTTCCACGTTCTCCCTTTCCCGCTTCGTTTCCATATCGAATTACATACGAGGAAAAGTTTCGGGTCTGGCTTCGAGGGGGCGAGGTACAAGTTTGATGTGGATATGGATATGGAGTCGAATATCTCCGGCTATCTCGTCTCTTCGTTTTGCTCGCGTCGCTCGTCTTCAGGGCGAACGTTCTTCCGACTTTCTCGATGCTCTTTTAGGTGACAGAACCGTCTTTGATTTGTCCTGGGCTTTAATCTCAAGATTGTCCGGCGTTCGAAGCAATACGCGAGAAAGCCTGTTCCGTGTGCCTTGAAGTATGCTCGTTACACATCTGCATTCAAACTATAGGTATAAATACCATTTTTGCCCCCTAATTTCAATATCAACGTTATAATACTGTAATAAAAACAAAAGTCATATGAGAACGTAACGCGAAAGTTTTATTATCTAAAAGTAAAATTTTTATCCTATCTTGGATTAAATTATCATTCGACCATCGGAAAATATAATAGTGAATTGCTTACTTTTATAATCTTTAACTTTAATTAAATCAGAATCTATCGGAATAAAGTCAAATATTCTAAATGTCATCATCTACTATAGTTATCTATGATCCAACTATCTGCGGATTAATTTTCATATCATCATTGACAAATTAGTGAAGAACTAACTGAAAGTCTTAATTGAAATTCCATTCGTTTCACTTAAATTTCCCAACTTAAAGTTCAATTAATTTGAAATCAAAGGGCAGAGGGAGTGTTCGATGCCGACAAAAGTGACTGATTGTACGTCGATAATTCAATCCAAAATAACAAATTGCTGGATCATGACGTGAAATGGCAACGGCATTCTGTTCGCACGTAAATCACCGCAGCACCAAAATTTCGTGCATGAAGCGAAACGAGCCAGGTAAACGAGGTTGGATAACTTGAATCGCGGTAAACAGTATGCGTGCCGAGTGTCCGAGCAACTGGCCGAGAGTTAATTTGTCAATATTACTAATCATGCGCACCATAATCAAATAAATCGACCAAGTTCTGTAACGGCCCGTGCAAAATCAATTTACCTTCTCCTGGCCTTCTGACCCGTCGAATTTGCGCAAGGAGTTGACCAACTTGAATTCATTGCCCAATAGTACTATTCATCTGTAAAAGCAATATAAACTGTACAACTGTTTCGCCGTTTGGACACGCCGGGAACTTGATGAATCCCTACCACTTTCGCCAATAACAATTCGCTGAATTATGAGTAAATTTGAAACGAATAATTTGATCATGCTACTTCGCAAGCTCTGGATGAAACTATGAGTCTGTATCGGAAAGAGTTCGTGGGAAACTTTGTACGATATTCACTAGGAGAATAGGCTTGATGAATCAAACGATTGTTAGTGAATTGCGACAATCTTTGATATGACGGATGTTCGTGCAAATTTCAAACAGAACTGCGTTTCACTAAATATTTTATGATAATGAGTATTATACCTTGTATATTTTAAATGTTTTTCTATATCATATGCATTCACATGTGATACAAATCAGATCAGACATATATAATACTTCCAATTTTCAACGTTGAATCAAAAATTTCCTATCAACTGACTCGCGTAGAATCGTCCCATCACTCTATCAATACAATAACTTGGCAGGATCTGAATTATATCCGTACGAGGAGCGACAAACGACGAGGTGACTAAAGAGTGAAAGAGGGTTAGTAAGGGAGAGAAAGAGAGAGAGAGAGAGAGAGCAAGTATTTGTAATTCCGATTAGTCGGCGCTCGGAGTGCTCGCCAAAGAGAGGAGAGGAGAAACTTGCCTCGCGGAAACTTACGTGCAACGTGCGGCACTTTTGGCTTGCACGTTTCGACAATCTCGACGGGGTGGCTGGGAGTTCGAGGATGGCCAGCGTTGTCGCGCTTGCGAGACTAGCACATCCGACGCCCGGCGCTGCCTGCGTTCGCTTCTCTCTATACGTGACGTCGAGATGTACGACTCTGTCTGTCTCGATCCCCGTCGCCCTTCTTCCACGACCCTGTGTCTCTCCTTCGCTCTCCCTCATGAATAGCATTGCGATAAATTCGATTAAAACTTCCGTGGTCCTCGGTGGCTTCTATCCGTTCGGCCGCTCGTCGATGCACAGGGGACGGCCGGAAACAAGAAGTCGCAGAAAATCCAGTAAACAGTCCTCGCGGCGATCGACGAGTTTACCGTATCGTCGAATAACAGTCGAATTAGATGCTCTTAATTTTTCTTCGATCACTCGTACGTCGTTAAGTGATATGTAGATCTTGAAAAATTTCACGTGTATGTTGAATGAGATTTTCACGTGCTTATTAGAATTTCATGGGAATTATTACAGACTTTGCAGCGATCTTCTCTATTTATTGGGTTGCATAATATCAAGCAGATTCATCGATATTTCTTCTTTGTATCTTTCCGATCAATTAAATGATCTAGATTCTTAAATAATTCCATCACGTGTCGTGTCTTTTCAAAGAGCGTGCGCCGGTAGCCGCAAATTACGGGGAACGTTGAAACGGCGAAACATACCAAATAAACACGTTTTCACGCGGCGGTAATTTTTCTTCCTCCGTAACAAGAGCAACGGTACCACCTCTCAAGATCTTTCGTGGCCGTTCGCTTAATTGTATCTCGCGGCGAGGCGCGTGGCCTTTTTTTGGGTGGCCGTTCTTAATTACTAGCGCGAGTCCTCGTTCGGTTCGGAGCTCCGATGAGGAAGCATGTTCGAGCGACCTGTCGGTTCATAACTCATCTTCAGGGGCGATGGAAAAAAAGACCTGAGCTCTCGCTCAGACGAAGGGAAACGAAGGACGGGGAGGGTGGCTGAGAGAGGAGGAGAAGGAAGAGAGGCACGCTGTTCGCTCCTATGGCACATACTTGAGAAAGTTTCGGACCCACGGCGGGATAACGGACCGAGCAGGGAGCGCGAAACAGTTTGAAGTGCTTGCTAAATGTTGCGGAAAATAATGACTGATGGTCGTTGCAACCCCCTCTCTACGACCATGGTCTTCACTCTAACTACCACCATTGCTAGCCATCGTTACCGGGACCATTGACACCTACTTTTTCCATTCTGAATGCCACATTATGTTTCCTGTTTATCTGACGCTGTAAGAATTCGTGATTTTCCCGTTTGTCGAAATTTACGACGACCCAGGTTCTAGATTCTGTTGCACAAAAATTTAAAACACGTTATAACTTCCAAGAAAATAATGACTAAATAAATGTTTCGTTCATGATATTAATTTTTTACAGTGCTGACAATTTAATTGATTATGTTTAAAAGTCAAAGTTATAATTATAATGTTCTTATTTTAATAATTTATATTTTGTTTTCGTTCAAATAGT